GTGGCTGGGACTGTTGGCAGGCAGAAGGGCAGGATGTTCCCAGTGTCTTTCTGGGAAGGGGCATCTGAAAAAACACCCAATGTATTTACATGGGAAATACTAAAGGGATTTAAAAATAAAGGTTTAAAAGTTACTCATCTGTAGATAGGATTTTGGGGGAAAACCCAAGACAAACACAGTATTAAAGGCAATTTAGGTTGGCAGAAGTACTTGAAAGCTAAGAAATGTTTGTGTGAAAGTTTCTGCTGCAACCTGTTTCGTCTTCCTGTCCTCCATTTATCCCAGTATTGTGACAAGATCTTCAGTTATACCATTATATGTTTCTGCCAGTACAAGAGCCTGTCCTCATTCAACACACAGAAAGGACAGTGTTCCAGGAACAGTCCGGGATGATCCAGGGAATGGGACTGTCACCTTCACTTCATGGAAGTGCAATTCTTCTACCTTCAGTCAGCAATGGCACAAGCACCCTTTTCAAAGGCTGGGACAGAGAGTGCTCAAGGCCTGGCTGCATGGGGCTCTGAGCAGCCAGGGCGAGGGGAAGATGTCCCCTCTGCCAATGGGAGGGGTTTGGAATAGGATGGTCTTTAAGATCCCTTCCAACCCTGGCCATTCTATGATTCTAGGACTGGGATAGATGGTTTCCCATCAGGGAATATTCAGGGTTACTTCTGTTTTGAGAAAACTGGAGAAAACTTTTTAATCCAGACGCCCCAACCCTCCTCCCCTTGCTGTGGTCTGGTGCTTTGAGAATTGCAGTTACACAAATTGAGAATTCTTTTTGCATTTTCTTTCCTCTCGGAGTGTAAAACAAATAGGAAAGCCAAGGTTTCATTGCCCATATGCAGTGAAATTGCTGCTCTTTCCTATCCTAAGTGAGTCTGGCATTCTTTGAGATGCAGAGCAATGTTGCAAACCCAGGACTTCACTTAGACTAGAATAAAGAGGCTTCTGAAATGTTTATGGTCAGGGATCTGACCATAAACATTTGATGCCACAGCAGTTGATTCTCTGATGCCTGGAAGTATGTTAATAAACATCCTTCATGTTTCTCCTGCTTTCTGATGAGAGAACAAACCAGGAGAGCTCCTGTTTCCGAGTGGTGTGCCTAACAGCTCCAGGGCTCAAGCTAATTCTGCTTCCCTCCCCTGTTCAGCACTCTCATTTATAGATTTATGGCTCTGAGTAAGAAGGGAAGTATGAAGTTGGCTGTAATTGGTACTGTGCATAAGTGTAAATTACCATTTCAAATGGGGATGCTCTGCCAGCTATTGCATTTTTTTTTCCCTGTCTATTGCTCTTTTTAAACAGTGGGGATTTGTTTGATGTGTAGAATATTTTGGCTCCTGGGAAATGAATCCTACCCCAGGGCTTCCAGCCTGTGGGAGGTTCTGTTGTGCCTCCCAGGCTGCACACTAAGGTGTTGCTGGATGATTTTAGAGGTGCACTGATCACCAAAATATACTGCAGGTATGGAAGGTATTCTTCTTGTTTCTTCAATTGATGAGGTGAGTGTTACCAATGTCACATAAGCAAAGAATGTCAAGCTGTTCTGCTGAAGGCCCAGTGGTCAGTCAGCATCTCCAGCACTTACTGGGCAGCCTTCAGCCCCAAAAGGAGTTTCAGAAAAGGGATATTAAAAGTATTTTGCCACTGGGCTGCAAGCAAGTGAAGAAACTGTAGTAGGGTTATAGGGATGAGAAGCTCCATAATTAGGAAAAGTACCTGAATGTGGGAAGCAGAAGATAGGAGTAGCACAGGAGCTGTGGAGGAGGGAATTGGAAAATTCAGGAGATGATAGGGTGACTGGGAAATGCAGGAAGACAAGAAAGTGGTTAAGAAGTTTTGCAAGCCCTAGCCTCGAACCTGGATTGCCACTTGGGATACCTTAGTTTTGGAGCAAGGGACTCTGAGTTTGGCTTTCCTGAGAAAATGCTACACAGACACAACTTTTTGGCAGCTGCAGTACTGATCACATCAAATCCTGCAAAAGGGAGCTAAAGGAAATCCAAAATTACACAAAATGTTACCCAAAATGCTGAGCTACATTTGGGGGTGCATCCAAGGGAATGGTTGAAACTGAACTCCTGTGCTGCAGATTGACAGTGCCTGCACAGACCAAGCCTGGAAAAACAATGTCCCTCTAGTTTTTGCAGAAGGATGAGATCCCAGAACTGGGTGTCCTGTGCTAGTCAGAATGATTTTCCCCATGAATTCCGAAGGGATTTTCGTGCACCTTGGCATTAATGACCAATACAGCCTGAAGGAGGATGTTGTCATCATAAACTCTTGAACCACAGTGAGGTGCCAGACCTGAGCTTGGAGATGGGATCACAGCCACTGCCTCAAAGAGGAGCTTAGTGGCACCCTGAGGTGGCACTGGTCTCGTGGTGTTGGGTTCAGAGCCAGCACCCAAATCTCTCTCTAGGGAGCGTTAGGGTGCAGCAGTGTGGCTTTTGGGAACACTGTTCTTGTCCCTCCCGGCAACTCTGGATCTCCCTTGCCTCCAGCTCTGCAAACTGTGTGCCACCAGGAGCCCCTGGCCCAGCAGGATCTGCACGAAGGCTGAATTGTGGCAGCTGGCATTGCCTCTTAATATAGAAGTGCGGGGTGTGGCTGCACAGGCGCCGCGCTGCAGGCTGCACGCTGGGAAGAGTTGTGCTGCACACCGCAAGGGCTTCTGGCTTTAATACCGAGCCTGAGGTGATCCGTGAGCGCATCAAAGGAAAGACAGAGGCTTCTGAAGGGCTGTCAGGAGCCAGCCCAGGTGGTGCAGAGCAGCCTGAGTGCTTGCTCAGAGCTGGGCTGTGGCAGGAGGGTGGGAAGGGATGGGATGCAGGGAGGGAGCACCTCGGCTGTGTGCAGCACTGCTCGCCCAGGTAACGGGAAGCCCAGAGCTGTGCAGTATGGAATGCCTGTGTGGGCTGGAAAATGGTCCTGCAAGCCGTGCTGGAGCTGCACGCTCTCTTTGCTCTGTTGACTGAAGCTTGCTCCTTCAAAACCAGCACAGGCTGAGCTCTGTCATGTAGATGTGCCCTGTGTGTCTTCTTAGAAACCTTGGGAGCTTTCCCATCCCTCCCAAAAGCTGTTTTGAAAGGACTTCTCAACAGTTAATCCTGCGAATGAATAAATCATAATTATGATTCAAATAATCCCAGGAATGAATAATTCATTGTAATAATTGAAAAAGAAATTTCTGCAAGAAGCATTTTACTATTACAAAGGCAAACATCGATTTTTTTTCTATTTTTTTTTAATAATAAGTATATTCTACAGCGAAGTCTTTTTCATCTGGCTGCCATACCCCAATTATGTATAATATGAAACAAAAAATATGCTTCCTCGTGTGACAGCCATCTCCCCATAAAGGAAAAAAAATATGCTTTCTTTTGGAACAGCCGTCTTCAATGCTAATGAGTAAGAAGGGAAAGGGGATTAAATGACATTTAAATCATATTCACCTCCTTCCTGAGAACAGAGCCAAAGAAAGCAGGGACAGTCAGCTGGTCAAAATGTCCAGAGCCTGAAACAGGAATTGCCAACTAGTTAGGAGGGACGGGGAGGAGGGACGGGTAAAAAGGGGAATGTTTTCCTCTAGATCCGTGGTGCTAAGAAATGGTGTAGGCTAAGCACATGGCTTGCAGCCAGCAAAGGCATCAGATGCTGCGATGATAAAAGCTTGGTTAATAACATTTAGAACCGACAAAGGGCTTTCAAGGGAAAGACAGACTTTTGCCTGGGAAGGATGGAAGCAGAGTCACCTGTTAGCCCCATTTTCGGGTTGTTTCAGGAGAAAGTACAGTGCCGTGCGTTTCTCTGAGCTTTCAAATGCCGAGCGTGACAGGGACGGGGCAAGCCACAGGTTTCTAAAAGCCAAAAGAGGTGGTAGTCTGTTTGCTTGTGAAATGCAGATTCTGATTTTGGGGAGACTTAGCGCTGACTGTGCGGTGGTGGACAAAAAAAAAAAGAAATTATAAAAAAAATAGCAAGCTCACGTGATTGGTATGTGGGAAAAGAGGCAAACTCGATCCGCCCCAGATGAGAAGAGAAACTGCATTTACCTGTGTCTTTCCCCTTCAAACATGTTGCACTGTTTACCGCGACAGGTTGTCTCCATCTGTGGATGGTCCGATGCCACCGTCGTGCTTGCATCACGGCAGTGACATTTATAAATGGAGGTCCGCGAGCCACAGGCATGGACTGACTGGCTCAAGGTCAACTCCAGCCTGCGGCGGGGACGGGAACAACACCGAGGTCAGCCCGATCCCAGGGCTGAGCTCTGAGCCCTGCCCGGAGCCGGCGGTGTTGGACAGCCCCCAGCAGGGGTTTGCCTGAAGGAACGAGGGCAGGATTCCAGGGCGGAAAGGTGGGCTAAAGAAGGGCGGCGGCGGTGCCGCGCTTCTGACCAGCTGTTGTGAAGCTCCTGACCGGACAGCTGATCCGCCAGCGCCTTCCCCTCGGGGGTCTTCCCCCAAAAGCCGGCGCCCATGGGCTGGGGCTGCTGCGTCCTCCGCGGCGGGGAGAGAGGTGGGGCGAGCATCCCCCGTCGGCGGGTGCGCGCATCCGTCTGGAGCTGAGGTGTCGGCGCTGCCGCGGCGTGCGTGTCTGTGTCTCTCTGTCTCCGTGCGGGTGCTTGCGTGTGTCTGCGTGTGTCCCTCTCCCCGTGTGTGACACCGTGCGTGTGTGCTCGTACAGCTCCCTCTCCCGCTCTCTCTGTCGCGTGTCTGTGTGTCTGTGTGCCTCTGTGTGTGCGCGGGGAG